GCCATATGAAAAAAATTATCATTATTATTATTGTTGTGGGGTTTGCTCGTTTGTTTGTTTGTTTGTTTATAGGCAATTTCTCCCCATGTAGCTTTGGCTTGAAATACCTAAGATTAACATGTAAACCCCACCTACCCAAGGACGAGGCAGCTTCCTAGAATGCTGGGAGCTGCAATTGTTAGAAAATAACAAAGCCTCATGGGGAAATATGGTAGCCTATATATTTGTCCTCATAAGAGGCAGGCAGAATTCTGAGAGTTCAAGTCCAGCCTGGTCTACAAAGTGAGTCCAGGACAGCCAGGGCTCTGTTACACAGAGAAACCCTGCCTCGGGGGAAAAAAATGGTGGAATTGGCTTTTCTTGGGCGAATATCAGGATTAACAGGTTGGCATGGAACTCACAGAGCGCTGGGTCAAAGGCCTGTGCCACCACTCCCGCTCTGCTGTTATTATTTTAACGTGCGGTGTATAGGTCTTTCCAATGGTTTTGTGAACTTTTGTAAAAATTGATTTGAAACCTGAGATACTTTTAAATATAGGAGTGGGCTGTAGCTTGGTGATAGATCACTGTAGCTTGGTTGGTACATCACCACCCAGCATCCCAGCCGCCCTGACTTGCCATGAGCACCACAAAAGGAAAGCCAAACACGGGCCTGGAGAGTTGGCTCCATGGTTAATTTAAGCACACTGGCTGCTCGTCCAGACAGAGACCTCCCAGATTCAATTCCCAGCACTCACACGGTGGCTCACGGCATCTAGGACTCGGTTCCAGGCCCTCTGACCCTCTCTGCTGGTCTCTGAAGGCACCAGGCACACATTCGTAAGCATCCATGCACATAAAATAAAAATAAAGATTAAAAAACAAAAAACTAGAGTCTTCTCCCGACTCCCACTCAGAAAGCTAACTGACTGCAGAACAAGTTTTGCCTGAAATCTTCAGACTTTTGTTTCAGGTTTCATCCCTTTGAACTTGGTTTCTTTTTTCTTTGCTCTCTTTCTTTCTTTCTTTTTTGTTTGTTTCTTGCTCCTTTTTATTATCTTGGTACTAATCTTTGTTTACCCAGGTTCTGACTGTTTGACTGTTTTTATTGTTTTTTAACCCTACAATTAATTCCTCCAGATGCCTGACTCCTTGGAGTTTTATCTAAGCAAACAAAGCAGGCAGGAAATAGATGCTTCCTGAGAAAGGAAGCTCTTGGCCCTTCCAGCGGAGCTTTGCCTTCCAGCTTGTTTGTCTGCTGCCACTTCCCTTCTTTACGACTGGTTTGTGATTCGAGGGAATAGTTGGGGGCATTTTAACCTTTCCTTTTCAAACTTGGTGCTGATACTTTGCCCCATCCTTTTCAAGTCCTCACTGTTCTGTTTCACTGGGATGCCTGCATTCCTCCGCCCCTGTTTTCAGAACAACTTCTCCATGCCTTAGCCTAAGATTGCCTTTTCGCTGTTAGGCGCATCCCGCTCTGCTGAGGGTATGTGCCTTTCCTCTAGGCATACACCAATGATGACATCACAGGTGCCTAAGCAACCTGGGCTAGTGCCTCAAGATTTGTGAACTAACAACCACTCCCGACTTGAATAGGCAGGGGTTTTGTTTGTTTTTTAATGTGAGCTTTTTGTTGTTTTTCTCTTCTAGTGCATGTCTTTAATCGTCTCCACAGACCCCAAATAATGCTTATAATCCATGATCTGGCTCCTGGAGCAGGGTGGCTCAGGGCTTACTCAGTGCCTGCAGCACCGTTTCTTCTGGGCTCTGCTGAGCCACTTCCCTAGCCTGCTTTCTGCCTGCTTTCTAACAGAGGGAATATACTTGGAGAAACTCATCATTCAGCAGTGAAAGTTAACATGCCACGCTTAGGAAGCTCACCTCTGCGCTCAGTTAGAGGCACTGGGAAGAACACAGCAACGTTTCTGTGATTTTCTCCCATAAATACATCGTTCGAGTCTAATTACAAAGAAACAAGAGATAAACTCAGAAATCCTACAAAATACCTGGTCTGTATTCTTTACAAGACAACACTTCAACATCCTGAAAGACAGACACTAAAGAACTACTCCAACCGAAGAATGATAGAGAGACCTGGCAGCCATGGGCGGAGCCTGCTGGGAGGTCCTGTTATACCCGGGAGTGTGGGACCGCTGGGGAAACCTCGGCTCTGTCTGAAGATGGTGCAGGATTGCATCAGCGTTGGCGTCCTAACCCCTGGAGAGTGTGAGGTGCTGCTTACGTGGGAGCATGGCTTAGAGACTACATGCTGAAATACCGGGGGGGGGGGGGGGGGGAAAGAGCAGCATGCGATACTCTCAGATGGTCCAGGACAGCGAGACTGTGTGGAAAGGAAGGGAATGGCAGGAAGCCAAGGCATCCAATGTTAGTGTTTAGTGGCCGTGCAGAGGAAACAGACAAGAATTATGTGTGCTGTTCTAGCCACACTTATCTATAAGTCAGGAGTTATAATTAAAAAAGAAGAGAAAAGGGAAAAGAGGGACTGGGGCTGGAGAGAGGGCTCAGTGGTTAAGAGCACTCACTGGCTGCTCTTCCAGAGGACCCGGGCTCAATTCCCAGCACCCACATGGCAGCTCACAACTCTCTATAACTCCAGTTCCAGGGGGCCTAACACCTCCACACACATATTTATACAAGCAAAACACCAATGCACATAAAATAAAAATAAATTTAACTTTGTGAGACAGAGTTTCTCTGTGTAACCTTGGTTGTCCTGGACTTGCTTTGTAGACCAGGCTGGCCTTGAACTCACAGTGAGCCACCTGCCTCTGCCTCCCTGATTGCTGGGATTACAGCCATGCACCACTGCGTCCGGCTAAAAATAAGTTTGAAAATAGGGACTAAAGAGATAGATGGCTTGATGGTTAGCAGTGTTTGTTGTATGCATGGGTTAGGATGTTTTGTTTTGTTGTCAACTTGACACAAGCTAGCGACACCTGGGAAGAGGAAACCTCAGTTGAGGAGCTGCCTCCATCAGACTGGCCTGTGGACAAGTCTGTCTGGCATTTTCTTCATCCATAATTGACGTGAGAGGGCCCAACCATGGTCAGCAGGGCCACCCCTGGCCAGTTTGTCCTGGGTTGTCTAAGAAAGCAGGCTGAGGGGGCTGGAGAGATGGCTCAGCAGTTAAGAGCACTGTCTGCTCTTCCAAAGGACCCGGGTTCAATTCCCAGCACCCACATGCTGCAAAAACAGCTATGTGCCTTCCCAAGATGGGCGGTGTCAGCCCTGAGGTAGCCTGGAAGTCAGTCAAGTCAAGCCCAGTGGTGAATTCCCCGGGGGAGGAGGAGCCCTTCTTTCCTCAGAATAAATGATGAGTCTCAGAAGGTCGTGAGGGAGGGAGGGAGTGAGAAAGAGAGAGTGCTTATTTTGTGAATTCGAGACATTATAGACCTTGGGCAGTGGGCGGGGCTTTGGGGGTGAATGTGTCTGATTGGCTGGGGCTAGGAGCGCCAGGGATACTTCATATTACAGGTAGCGACACAGTACTTTTATAAGAAGGGGAACGCAGTGCTTGAGAAGCAGTGCTTGACAACTCTGGTTAGAGGTATGGAAACGGCCCACTGGCTGAAAGCTAAGGTACCAAGACATCTCATTAGCGTGGGGAGAGGTTTTGTCCAGGAATCCCAGGTGCAGCCAGTGGGAAAATGAACAGGTTTCTTATCGGGGAAAGGGTTGGGCCTGTAATCTCCCTGAGGACTGTGTGACACTCCTCAGAGGATGTGCGGGCTCCACTGATCAGGCGGAGAGGAGGGAACCCAGATGAGGTAGAGAGTCCTTCGTCTTAGCACCAGGTTCAGGGGCTTTCTGGTAATGGCCTTAACAGCAGGGTCCAGCAATCCATATCTTTCCAGTGCCCTATCCAGTGGTTTCTGTGTAAACACACAGTAATGCAGAGCTGTACACACATACTCATATAACATATATGAGTATGTTCAAACATATAGAACTTAAAAAGCAATTTCTAAGAAATAAATATAAAAGAAACAACCGTGCCTCACCGAAGACCAGAACAGGAGAGTAACTTGCAGTTTGCTTTCTGGAAAGGCAAGCTTCCGTGTGAGCTAGGGATTCACCTGCCTCTGTCTCCCAGGCTCTGGGATTAAAGGCGTGCACCACCACTGCCCGCCGGCTATTGAAACGATTCCGAAGTGTACACTTTAGGTGCTCTTTCCACTAAAAATGTTAAGTATTTGAGGCAATGCATATGATAATGATCTCCTTGAGCCATTCCACATCATATACATGCTTCCAAACATCATGATATATGATACATATATACACAAGTTTGATTTGTCAATTGAAAAATAACATCCAATTTTTGAAAAAGGAACTATTTAATTAAAGTGCTTCCAGATTCCTGTCCCTTAGGACTCTATGTAAAATAATGTTTATTACTTTGAGGCAGTTGATGGAGGATAAATTTTTATCCAACAATGAATAGCTCATAAACTTGGTCTTACTAAAAGGGAGAGATTATATACAGACTTGGTGAATGGTGTCCTTTGCAGCTAGCCCTCAACATATCTGTTTGTGATCCTTCAAAAACTGCAGTCGCTTTTTCCAGTCAGATACATATAACATATAAGTTTTGGCTTGTTACATTCCTGCTTATTCCTGCTTTTGAGGCCATAGTCTCTCATAGAGCTCAGGCTGGCCATCCTCCTGCCTCAGCAGAGTCCTGGGATTATAGGCATGCATCACTGAGCCTGGCTAAGGTTACTTTTGTTTTCCTGTTTTCAGTCCAGTTGCATCAAACCCAAATTCTCATGAATGCCAGGTGAGTGTTGGGTCACACAGTTCCTCCCACAAAGAGCAGCTCTGCAATGGGAGAGGCTGCTGGGCAGGTTCAGGGATCAAAGGGTGTCAAAAGTTCACCGGCACAAAGAGTCAGGGAAACAAGCAAACACAACGATTTTTGTTTTTCTCCCTTCCTCTCCCTCCTCCTCCAGTTCTCCTCAAGGACCATCACACACAAAGAAGAGATGGACAATTTATTCCACACACCTGAGACACAGACAAGACCAAGTTGAGGAAGAGGGGTGGCAGGGCCGGTCCCCCACTGGTCCTTTGCTCATTCTCTGTCATGATGAGGGCAGATGTAGCCAGTGGAGGCTGGGTGGGATGGTGAGAAGCATGTCTCTAAACCTGACAGTCCTTTGAATTAGAAGGGTCCTGGGTGTCCTCCTCAAGTCTGGCGGACTGTAAGGAACACTGTAAGGACCCTTCCCTGTGCTTTGAGCTGACGATAGAGGAGGAGCTGTTGCTGATGAGGCTCCAGAAGTTTTTATAATTGAGGTAGCAAAGGAGCCCTGGCAGGAAAACAAGAAGGGCGAAGCAAAGAGGTGTGGGGGGCCGGTGAGGCGGGCCCAAGGGAAGGTTAAGACCCCCACTCTCGGGGTGGGGCTGGGGGGGCGGCCTGCCCCTTCCCTTCACGAGCTCTCTTCCCTGACCCACCCAAGTGCCTTCGTCCTGCAGGCTCCTCCTGACCACTTACCACAACTGAAATGCAGGATGAGCACCAGCCAGCCGATGAAATAGCTCCAGCCGATGGGGACGGATATATCCCTCTTCAGCTCGTAGATCCAGAGGTCGACAGGGAACAGCAGGAGAGTGACCAAAGTGGAGGTGACTGCGAGGCAGGAGTGGAGAGATCTTATTCTCTCACCTAAGAAGCACGGGTCTGCCTCACCTGCCGAGAACCACCTACACTGAGGACATCAACCCCTGCGGTCTCCGGTCTCCGGCAACCCGCCCTCGGCCCCCAAACCCTCACTCCGCCCCTCCCACTCCCCAGAAGAAGAAGGAGGAGCCAAGCCCAGGACCATGTGGGTTAGGGGATTAAGGACCTTTTTCAGAGCTGGGGGGCACCTTCACAGAAGCTCAGGATGATCCCAATCAGGCCATAGAAAGGCATCTTCAGCTGGTGGGACAGGTACGGCAGGTGCAGCCAGGCAGTGAGGGCAAAGCCCAGCCCCAAGGCCAGGGTGAAGCTTATCTTAGCCACCCCCAAAAATGGATGCATTGTCCACAGCTTAAAACTGTCTGGGGGGAAAGGACAAAAACAGGAGGAACGCAGGAGTCACAAAAATGAAAGACAATCAAGCGAATGAATACAAGGAAACTGAAGAAACGCCATTGTGATCATGAGAACAATGCTTCCCCGTTAAGACTCTGCTCTATAGACTGCTTAGCAAGTCCCAGCACTTGAATATGTGGAGAAAACCCAGTGTGGAGGCTCACACCTATGAGCTCAGCAGTGGCTGAGGTAGGAGAGCCACGGGTTTGAGCTACACTGTGAGTTACAGGCCAATCTGGACTACAACTTCATGTTTAAAAAAAAAAAATTAAAAATAGCCAGGTGTGGTGGCTCACACCTTTAATATCAGCACGAGAGAAGCCGAGGTGGTCAGATCTCTGTGAGTTCAAGACCAGCCTGGTCTATATGGTGAGTTCCAGGACAGCCAGGGCTGCATGTTAAGAATCTGACTCAATAATAATAATAATAATAGCCAGGCATATGTCTTTAATCCCAGCATTCCAGAGGCAGAAGCAAAGAGACCTCTGTAAATTCAACGCCAGCCTGGTCTATATAGCAAGTTCCAGGACAGCCAGGGCTACATACAGAAAATCTATCTCAATAAATCAAAACAAAAAAAGTCAGTAAGAGAAAAACAGAAAGAAGGAAAAAAAATCAGAACACAAACAGCAATTCTCAAAAGAAAAAAAAGTGCAAATTGTCAGTGGACTTACGAAAGCTTTGGTGGCTCTCTCTTTTCTTTTCTTTCTTTTTCTTTTTAAAGGTTTTTAAAGTTTTTTATCTATCTATGCACAAGTGCTTCATCTGATGTACACATGGACACCAGAGAGAGCACCAGATCCCAGTATGGATGGCCGTGAGCCACCATGTGGTTGCTGGGAATTGAACTCAGGTCCTCTGGAAGAGCAGACAGAGCTCTTAACCACGGAGCCATGTCTTTCAAAAGAAATCTTGCAGGTGCAATTATAGTTTTAGACCCTGAAGCCTGGAGTGGGTGGTAACTGGCCAGTTCCTGAGAATGACTTCACAACGTCTTCCTCCTTGTCCCAATGCAGTCGTTGGCGCCTTTTGAATGAGTCTGATTTCATTAATGACAGCGACACCACTGTCCACACCTTTCAGTTTGCTCCTCTTGTGGCATAACTGCGTGTTTTTCAGACTCTTTTTTTTTTTTTTTCAATCCCAGGTCTCATCCTAATCTAGCTAAAAGGATTGTTCCCAGAAACCATTGCCAAAGGCTCCAATCTTCCCATCTGCCAATTATCCCCACATTGATGTATGGCACAAGATTTGCCTGGACAAATGGAATAAGCACACTGAAAGACTCCCGTTGAGCCTCTCTAGATGGGGAGACCCCGCTTCCC